TAATGCTTTTTTGGCTATGTAGTTACGGTGGGCTTTATCACTAAGATCATTAGAGATCAGTACTCCAAGGTTCTTGACATAATTTTAAGAATTTTCTGTATTAAGCTATGTATTATCATTTAATGACACCCATAATCCCTTGCGGGGTGGAGTCTGGACAATTGAACGGAGCTAGCAGAGTGTTTTAATGGCTGGATGCCCTCCCTGTCACCAGTGCGGAGTTTTGTTCAGCTGATACATTCTCATTATGCCCAGAGAGAGAAATATGTGCCTCTGCCTAGGATCGAACTCACAGCTTTCTGATTGTGAGGCAAGAGCTCCACCTCTAGTCCATCGCACCACTCTAGATTTCCCTAGTTTCATCATCACCTTTTAAAGACCTCCCGTAATCCCTTGCGGGGTGAAGTCTTGGGCAACTCAATGGAGCTAGCAGAGTGTTTTAATGCCCAGATGCCCTTCCTGTCTCCAGTACGGCGGTTTGTTCAGCTGATATAGTCTCAGTGTGCCCAGAGAGAGAAATAGCTGCCTCTTCTTAGGATCGAACTCACAGCCTCCTGATTGTGAGGTGAGATCTCCACCTCTAGGCCACCGCACCCCTCTGTATCAAGCTATATATCCTACGCCAATATTTCTTTGCTTTAGCGCCCTTATCTTGGTTCTGTTGCGGTCTCCATCCCTCATAGCTTCGGTGCAGCAAGATAGCATTTGACATGTAACTCAGTGTTTTGAGTTTTGGAGGATCAAGGCTGTTGTCATAGTTCCCTGACACAGTATGCCTAACACCCTGTTGACGGGACAAAATAACCCTGGTTTTTCCCCCCGCCCCCAGCATCTCCTGTCGGTGGCATATGGAATGGAAGGGATCTTAACTCTCATCCAGTCCCTTTGTTTTTCCACCTCTTATTGTGTATATTTTTATTTAAGCACTTATGTAGAAGAACGACCTGCAGAGGCTGGAAGTTAGAGTCAAGTGAGAAATCAGCCCGGAATCGTTACATCCCAGTCTGCAGTCTGTGTCCATTCCCACTTGAATTCTGCTAACTCTTATCTGGTGTCCCAAAGGTGCTTTTTCAAGAGGCCACTGGACTTTCTGGTTTTTCTTGATCTCGTTTCGCTCCTCATCCAAGAAGCTTCTTCAGCTCTGACTGGATGGTGGGGAACGGAAGGATTTATATTCCTTGCAGACAGCTGGTCATTTGCATCCTTTTAGAGAGCCGTTGAGGCCGCTTGGAGGTTTGTCTGTGTCCTCAGGCTCGCCTGAGTGGTGCAAATGGGTGTGGAGCCTTCGTGGAACTGCTGAAAGCTCTACTGAAGTGACCTTGAGGACACAGATAAACCTCCAAGTGGCCACAACGACTCTCTAAAAGAATGCAAATGACCAGCTGTCTGCAAGAACTATGAATCCTTCCGTTCCCCGCCATCTAATCAGAGCTGAAGAAGCTTCTTGGATGAGGAGCGAAATGTCTTCAAAGAAAACCCAGGAAGTCCAGGTGCCTCTTGAAAAAAGCATCTTTGGGACAACCATGACCTGGAACACTGAAAAACTCCACAGACTCTTTATCTAGTGCCAGTTTAGTGCTGTTAATTGACTAGATTCTTGTTCTATAGGTTTTAGCAATAAATCATCTTAACATGTGGATCTGATTCTTCGGGCCTGACAGCTTGTTTGCTGAGTGTACATCCCGGCCTTCCTCAAGGAAGCATAGTTCTCCGAGTCTTCTGGCCACCAACCCTTTTACACCGCATGGTGTAAATCACCCAGTGAATATTTGCGATGGGAAGCAAGCTGGAAGCTTATCTCCCCAGGGCTTAGTCCCCTTTCCTAGCCCTACTAAGTTTTCGGTGGAGGGACGTAACACCCCATGCATCTCTCTCGCTCTCTCCCCTTTTCCTTGGCACACAAAGGGACTGTGACCTCTGAAAAAGCTGTAAAACCACGTACATGTGTTCTTCTTTAAAATTCCTTGGCTGATTCTGCTCGCCTTTGATTTCAGTGGAACTAATGTCTTATTGGTTTTTTTTTTTTTTTAAATAATAATAATAATAATACGGGTCGACAGAATTTAACAAGGAATCTTGTAATACTGAAATACAGAACACCATCATCATCATTAATATTATTATTATTAATCATCGCACAGTCAGTCAGAAGTTCAGACTGGTTTAGCATTTTGGTCTACCTATCGAGTCTTTACCAAGGACCTAGGATAGGCAAATCTGGATGTTTGACGATGTTACGGGTATCATTGCAGGATGGAAGATGTTCCAAGTAAAGCTGCCTTCTGCAATTGACCGATGGCAAATTTGTCAATGCCACTGATGGTGTTCAAGGGGTGTTCCAGTTGTTTTGGGACTGCACCCAAGGTGCCTATGACTATTGGTACTACCCTTGCTTGCCTTTGCCACAGTCATTCTATTTTTATTTGTAGGTCTTTGTATTGTGTGATCTTCTCCAGTTCTTTCTCTCCGCTTCTGCAGTCTCCAGGCACTGCCACATCCACTACTCAGACGGTTTTTTGTCTTTCTTATCGACAACAGTTAAGTCCTGGGTGTTATGTGGCAGGGGTGGCAGATTCTGAAGTCCCAGAGCAACTTAGCTTCTTCATTTTCTATGACTTTTTCTACTTTATGGTTCTCACTTGCAGGCAAATGATGTTTGTTGCAAATTTTCCAATGCACCATTGTTGCTATTTTGTCATGCTGAAAATCTGTGTGATTTTCTTGCAGGTCTTCTTCTTCTTCTTCTTCTTCTTCTTCTTCTTCTTCTTCTTCTTCTTCTTCTTCTTCTTCTTCTTCTTCTTCTTCTTCTTC